TGTTAGCCTCTGACACTTACGGCTGTAGCAGATAGTAAACAAAACCCAACTCCTTGCCAGATGAACATAAAGTTCATGTTAAACACCAAATTATCTATGTCTGCCTTTCAGCAAAAATAACAATGCTTATTAAAAGTAAAAACAACAACAATTTAAAGAGACCTAAAAAGCATCAGTAGCTTACCCAAATATAGCAGAGATTTTGGAATTAACACAAAAGAAATATTAAAACAACTATGGTTAATAGTTTTTTAACCATAATAATTTTTCTTAGTAATATACTAAGAGCTGTAATGGAAAAAGTGGACAGAATGCAAGAACAAATGAGTAATGTAAGCAGAGACATGGAAGTCCCAAGGAAGAATCAAAAGGATAAGGCGGAAATGAAGAACACGTTTGATGGGCTCATTCGTGGACTAGACACATCCAAGGAAAGAGTCAGTGAGCTTAAGAATATGTCAGTAATACCTCCCAAACGGAGGAAAGGGGAAGGAAAAAAGAAAAACTTGGAAAAACAAAAAAGAAGAGAAGATCCAACAATCGTGGGACAGCTTCAAAAGGTATAATATATGTAATAACAACACCAGAAAAAGGAAAAGAGAAAGAAATATTTGAAGTAATACTCCTGAGAACTTTTCAAAATTAGACACAGACACCAAACCACAGGTTCAGGAAGCTCAAGGATTTCCAAGTAGGATAAATACCCCCAAATGTACACCTAAGTAAACTGTATTCAAACTGTAGAAGATTGAAGACAAAAAGAAAATCTTGAACCTAGCCGGGGGAGGTGGGAATAGCCAGAAAACAAAAAACACCTTACCTGTAAAAGAACAGGATAAGAATTACATCAGACTTTTCTTCAGAAATCATGCAAGCAAGCAGAAGCCAGGCAAGCAAGAAGAAATTGGAGTGAAATTTAAAGCAAAAGTGAGCATACCATTTTAATTCCCTAACAAAGTATAAGAGTTACAGTTTAGCCACTATATTCACCAATGCTTGGTATGGTCAGTCTTTCTACTTTAGACATGCTAATAGATGTGCAGAATGTGGTTTAAATTTGCATTTCTCTAATTACTAATAATGTTGAGCCTCTTTTCATGTGTTTATTTGTTGTAAGTGCATTTTATTTTGTGAAATACCTATTCAAATAAGCTCATTTTTAACTGGGTTGTTTTCTTATTATTAATTTCAAGGTTTTTTTTATATATTTTGTATCCAGGCTCTTTATTAAATATAAGATTTGCATACAGATTTTCCCATTTTGTGTCTTGTGTTCTTCTCCTAGCTGTGTTTATCAAAGCTCAGAGAGTCTTAATTCTAATGAAATCTAATTTGCCAGTTTTTTTTCCTTTTACAGAACATGTTTTTCATGGCATATCTAAAAACTTTCTGTCTAACCCAAGGTCACAAATTTTTTCTCCAAAGAACTCCAAGGTTTCTTTTAAACTTCTGGAATTTTGATAGTTTTAGGTTTTCACTTTATATAAGATGATATATCCATTTTGAATTTTTTTTGTAAATGATGTGAAATATGAATCATAATCATTTAAAACCCCGGCTAACTAATTGTTCTACCACCATGTTTTCATCACACTGTCTTTCTCTACTGAATCCTCTATGGAAACTCTATTTCCATATGAGTTTTTGAGTCAACTTATAAATGTCTATACAAAAAACCAACTGGCTTTTTTAAAAATTGAGATTGCATTGGATCTCTAGATAATTTGGGGGAAATTGACATCTTGGTAATATTGAGGCTTTTACTCAGCTCCATTTATTTAAATTTAATTTGTCTCAGTAATGGTTTGTAGTATTCAGTGTATGCATCTTACAGACCTTTTGCCATTTTTAATCTCTAAATATCTCACACTTTTGTGCTATTGTGCATAATTTTTAAATTAAAACCTAAAAATAAGTTTAAAATTTTAACTTCCAATTGTTTGTTGCTAGTATATAAAAGAAGTTGATTTGCATTCTTGTATAATATTGAATTGCATAAATATAGTACAATTTATTTATTTATTCTCCTGTTGAATGACATTTGGGTCATTTCTACTCTGGAGTTGTGATGAATCACAGTGCTATAAATAGTTCTGTTCATACTTTTGCTGCATATATGCATATATTTTGGCTGAGTATTGGGGGTGGTGCATAAACACCCTTAGTTTCAATAACTAAGACTCATAAAACTAAATGAGAGTTAATACTACAGATAAAGTTTGTTACAGCAAAAGACACATAACAAAAGCTACTGAATGGTTTGCTGGTGAATTTTCTAAATTTATGTCTCTTTCAAATATCTTTATTTCATCTTCATTGCTAAAAGGTTTTTTTTTCTATGGTGAGTTGGCCATTATTTTTCTTTCAACCCATTCAAGAGACTGTTCCATTGTCTTCTGGCTTCTATTGTTTCTCTTGAGAGGTCAACCAACAATCTAAAAGCTGATAATGTGAAAGTAACTGTCTTTTTTTTCCCTGTCTGATTGCCTTAAAGATTTTTTTCCTTGTCTGTGGTTTTCAGTACTTGCACCTTCTTTGTCCATTGTTTTTGTTGCTTTATCTTATTTGGAATTTATTTGGCTTCTTAAATATGTGCCTATTGAAGTCCTTCATCACATTTAATAAATTTTTCGTCATTGACTCTTATGCCCCATTCACTTTCTCCCATACTTCTAAGACTTTTGATGAAACATATGCCAGACTTGATTATCATGTTCTCTATAGAATACACTCCATTTATTGTTTTCCATCTTTGTATCTCTGCCCTTCATTGTGGACAGGGCTGTTTTCAGTTCCCTGATTCTCTTTTCTACTGTATATAATCTGCCGTTAATTATTAATTTAAAATATTCTATTTTCAGAACTTTATTTTTCTCATCTATCTTTTTTTGTAGTTTCCAGTTCTGAAATCTTCAGTCTTATCTATCATCTTCTTGAACATATTAAGTATGGTTGTTTGAAAGTCTGTTTGATAAATCTACTATTTGGGGTCCATGAGTCCTTATCACCAGTTTTTTGGTTTTTTTTTTTGGTTGTGTTGGTTCTTTATGTTGACTTCTCTCTTTACGTGCAAAATGCCAGACAGTGCATTTGGTAAATTGCTTTGCTTTGGGTTTTGTTGTTGTTGTTTGTTTTGTTTTTTATTGAGGCATTAGATGGTATTATCTTCTTCTACTGAGGATTTCCTGTTTGTTTCTGTCAGGGATGCAGAACCTTTAGCAGAACAGAAGATCTAATATATGTTAAGGGTTGAGATTTATTTTTCTGAGCCACCCATTGGAGTTAAAACTGCACCACAGCCATGCAAGTTCTTTTTTTTTTTTTTTTTCTGATTCACTTTCCCTTTTAAGATTCAATTCTTTTTGACCCCAACCCAAACAGATGTGGAAGGTTTATCGGGGCCCTCCCTTAGGTCAGCCCTGGCTTCCAGCCTTTGTCCTCTTTGCCTCAGATGGTTGTCAGAAATGCTACTCATCTTTTGTACTTTCTCTGAAATCAGCAAATGCTCCTAGTATTAAAGTGACTTTAAATGCTGGTCTCCCCACCTTGAAACTTAGCCTTCTCAAAAATCTTAGCCTAAGAATGCTTTACTACTTATTAGGTAATCTAGCATACTTCAGCAGATTTTTTTTTTTTTTTTTTAAGTTCCATTTAAAAAAATTTCCCTATGAGAGAATAGGTTTATTACCCATTTTTTCTTTCTTCAGATTGTTATAGGATATTCTCTAAAATTGCCCCCTAAAAGCTCCCTCTCTGCAAAAGGACTTAGTTTGGAAGATCCATGAGGACTTTTGGTAAGCATGTCAAGAACAGAATATTCCAGGGCCATATTTACTGTTCTAAAGCATCGAAAGAGGAGGACAGCTTTCAAATTCTTTTTATGAAGCTATCGTATCATTGATTCTAAAACTTGACAGAGGATGCATGCACACATACAGATGGACACACACACACACACAATTCCCAAGGTCTTCAGTAATGCTTCCCATTTCCAGGAAAGTCAGTTTTCTCCCTGGTTTTAAGGCATAATCCCCTTGAAGCTGGGCATTTCATAGTCTCTAATTTAAAAGTAAAAATTAAGTGAGGTAGTGAAAGGACTTTATTAAGGAGATAAACAGGGTTACCTTTTGTGGTTGGATAAAAGGATTCTTTATTGTTCAGTCATTCAGTCATGTTCGACTCTTTGTGACCCCATGGACTGCAACACGCCAAGCTTCCCAAGGCATCAGCAAAAGCTCTGAGTGGTGAGGGGAACAGGATGAAGAGAAGCTGACACCAGAGTTGGATCAGACCCAGCTCTTTTCATCCACCTCTTGTACCTCATTTTTTCCAGCCAGCCAGGCTGAATGTGTCAGTCATGTTTGCCAGCCCCTTCTCTTATGCATCTCACATCCCATCCATTGTCGAAGCCCAGCAAGTATACATCTTCAGTATCTCTCTACTTTGCCATCTCCTTTCTCTTCCCATTTCTCATCTCCTTGTTCATGGTCTAGTAAATTTTCATCAGACTACGCAAGTACCCAGGTAGAGTGTGTGTGTGTGTGTGTGTGTGTGTGTGTGTGTGTGTGTGTCTCCAGACTTTCTGGCTCCTAATGCATTCTACTGATGGTTGTTCTCCACATTGATATAGTTGGAAAACGAATGCCCTCCCATGAGGAAGTTAACGCTTCAGTGAGACAGTGTTTGCAGAAAGGCTGTGCTAAGCAAACACTGGCATTTCTCTCCCTGGCTGTTTGTGTTGATTATGAGACTGTATGCAATTCCCAAGTTACCTGAGGGATTCCATCTACAGACATGGGTGTGGGGATGGATATGCATACAGCAAGTGTAGGGATGACTTTCAAGGGACCTGGGCCAAAGCCAGTGTGTATCTACAAGGAAATGATAAGTGACAAAGGATAAACAGTAATTCTGCCAAGAGAAGATCTTATAGAGCAGGGAGGGCTGCTCACTGCTCAGCGAGAAAGGAGTTCTGTGATTGATGCTTCTTTACATTTCAGGCTCATAGGAGAAAAGACTGGGAATGTTGCAAGAGGAATAAACATTGCCGTTATCAACTGTAAGTTATTAAATGTTTTCTTTAAAACACCTCTAAAAGCTTTGTGTTTGGGTATTCTGTGGTACCGTGGGTTTCTTTATGATTTTTGCACATGGTTTAGTCTAGGTTTGCATTTTAATGCACTTAAGAGTATATATTTAACTATTTTTACAGTGCCTCACTTTATAAGTTTGTGATTCTTCCCCCCCAAAAAATGAAATCAGATATAAATTTACTAAGTTTTATTGGTGTATAATTGCAATGTGTTAGTCTCTGCTGTATAATATAGTGAATCAGCTATGTGTGTGTACATATCTTCTCCCTCTTGGGTTTTGCTCCCCCCATCCCCCCCTTCTAGGTCACACAGCACCAAGCTGAGCTTCCTGTGCTTTATAGCAGAGTCCCACTAGCTATTTATTTTACATATGGTATTGTATATATGTCCTAAATTTCCAACAACAGATGAATGGATAAAGACAGTGTGGTACAGCCACTGAAAGGAACAAAATAGGGTCAATGGTACAGACGTGTGAGCCTGGAGTTTGTCATACAGAGTGCAGTCAGTCAGAAAGAGAAAAACAAGTATCCTGTATTCGCGCCTATCTGTGGAATCTAAAACGACTTTAAGAAAACAAAAAAGGACCTGCAGAAGTCAGAGCTAAACCAGGACCAGCAGACCTGAGAACACAGACAGCCCGGGGCTGGGCCTCGTGTTTGCTCTGCTTCCTGGTGGCTGAGCAGAGGGTGACGCCAGTTCCTATCTTGTCTGATGAAAAGACCTCAGGGGAGCACGGCCTGACCTCCTCTGAGGCCTGGAAAAGAACCCCTGTCACTTTTGCCACTGGGACCCGTGACAGTAAGGACGGTAGCAGGTTTGGGGAAGGGGTTTCCAGGGGTGTCTGTCCCTGTGAGCAAGGTGAGCACAGACTCCTGTGATCCCAGGCTGTAGGAACCTCAGGAATATGTGCCTGCTCTGATAATCAGGCAGGAAAATATACAGAGGGAGTAGAAAGTGCTGAGAGCGGGCCTCTTCTCAGGAAGAGGCAGGTGCGCTGGGCAAGAGCATGGATGAGAATCTAACTGGAAGCAGGCGGAAGGGAGGCTCCGGGCAGATGAGGAGCCCTGCCTTCCTGACCCACATCATCGGGGGCCCCTCCAGGGAAGGCAGGCCTTTCCTTCAGGTGGGACCAGGCATCATGCTTCCTGGAAGACACGGAGAAGGAACACACCATTTTAGAACTTTGGTATTGTTGTTCAGTCACTCAGTTGTGTCCAGCTCTGTTTGACCTCATGGACTATAGCCCTCCAGGCTCCTCTGTCCATGGAATTCTCCAGGTAAAAATCCTGGAGCAGGTTGCCATTTCCTCACCTGTGGGATCTTCCAGACCCAGCATTGAACCGGCATCACCTTCATTGGCAGGCAGGTTCTTTACCCCTGAGCCACCCGGGAAGCCCATTTTCAGAACCACAGTACCACACATGCAGCCTGAGTCTCCATGAGCCTTCTTTCAAAAGCTGTTTCTTTCATTTCCAGATGTGACTGGGAAAGTGATAGCAACACAGTATTTCGATATGTACGAAGGTGGTAAGAAAACTCTTTTCCTCTTAAACTTAAAATGAATTATATCGAATTAAAATGAATTAAGATCAAAAACCCACAATCAAAAATGTCAAGCATTCTTATTTTGTCTACCAAGAAAGCTGCCAGAAGTGCACATGAGTACTCTAGAGTGGTCTGACGCAATCCTTGTGGTCTCTGAGTATGTACATTTAAGTTGGAAGGCATGATCTAGAGAGTGTCTCTTCTCTGCTCACACTTGTCCTGGAACTTTGCTTCTGCTCCTTCATCAGATAAAGGAAAAGAGAAAACATCTCTTTTTGTTTTAAACCAGAATAACATGCTCAGTATCCAGTCCTAAATGTCATCATATATATCGTCGTCTTCCCTGTGATGGGCTTGTTGGTCTGCACGATCCTGGAGACCACGTGCCCACCCTCCTCCAATGATCCCTTCATTCTGGGCTCTGAATCTCCACTGCAGTTATTTTTATTTAACCCTGAGAATTAATAGAAACAAGTCTTTGTAAAGATAACGGAGAGGAACAATTAAGAAGCTATCCCCAATGCCCTGGGGAATGCTGTTTTCACTCTGTCATTAAACTTGATCGTAACTATAGATGACAAGCTCCAATGGTAAATAACGGGGTTTGAGCTGAGCCTTTGTTTTCTCCCTGTAAGAAACAGAGGGGTCTCTCAGCAAAGACTTACCTGTCCGGGTCAGGCGTGTATGTCTCCCATTGCTCTTCAGTGTCCTGGGGCCACTCAGCTCTGAGATGGTCACACCAGATCTGGTGCTCTCTCAGTGATTGTAGAGAAAAGCCCACCTGTTCTGTGAAATCATTGCTGGTTGGTTTGAGAGTCAAACTCACAAGAGTCTTTATGATCTGATCGTGCTGCCCACCTCACGTGGCCCCAGCGTGGAACCCAGGTCATTTACTATGAGAGCACTAGATGATCAGGTGTATGGTGGAGAGACAGCTCTAGAATCAGAGGATTCAGAACACAGAGCACAGAGTTGAGAGCAGAACAACCTCTAGGGTCACAGCCTCAGCTGATGGAGAAGGTCCTAAATCAATGTACATTGACCCGGCAGATAACTCTGGACCGATGGCAAACTTTATTCAGAGCGCTCCCTCGAAGTCCCTGCTCTTCATGGTAACCCACGATGATGGCAGCAGCAGGTGAGTGTACAGTTGTATCACGGCAGGGGCCAAAGTCAGAGATGCCAGCTGAGGGCAGAGTGCTAGCTCTGCCAGGGTCCCTCAGGACACCCTTTGGGAGAGAACAGAGCTCCAAGGAACAGGAGGCTTCTTCAAGGAGAAGGAATGGGCGGCCACGATGAACAGATTGCATTTCCAGAAAAATGATGAGCTGGTGGAGCACATGAATCTTAGAAATAAGAACTATTTCCAGGTAGCAAGACAAATTCATCACTGACAGTAAACAAGATAGCAAAGCTAACCTTTGGCCAGAGAGCTAAACGCAGAGTGGGAAGCACACACACACACACACACACACACACACACACACACACTCATCTGCACTGCTTTTATGAGAGAACGTGACCTGGCTCAGAGCTTCTCCAGATGTGCTCTTCTAAGTAAACATGTGCTTCTTCACTGCATAACTTCCGAGAACCTCACAGTGCTGATCTGCATTGTGACTTCCCAAGATGGGACTCCTGAACAAGACATTTTCCAGATGTGTTTGAATTCAGATCCTTATAGAGTGTCTTCCCGGGTGGAAATTCTTCGGTATATGCTTTGAAAAACTTGGATTTAGCCCACTTAGGAAAATCTGAGCTTATTGTTTTTCTTCTCCTTTCTGTCCTCTTTCCTTTATGAGCTCTAAGCGGCAGCTTTCTACAAAGTAAGATTGTTTAGAGCTTCCCTGGCGGCTCAGCTGGTAAAGAATCCGCCTGCAATGCAGGAGACCTGAGTTCGATCCCTGGGTTGGGAAGATCCCCTGGAGAAGGGAATGGCAACCCACTCCAGTATTCTGACTTGGAGAATTCCATGGACTGTATAGTCCACGGGGTTGCAAAGAGTCTAACGCCACTGAGCGACTTTCACTTTCAAGATTGTTTAGGTTTGTTTTTTTTTTCTTTTTTGATACTGACTTTTGTGAATATGAAAGATACAGTTTTGACATTTGTTTTCATCTTTCAGCATTTTCTGTCTGCTTTATCCTGTGGTTAGTAAACAGGCAGCAGCAAGGACCAAAAATTATGTTGTTTGGGGGTGAGGATAATTGGACCGTGAGACCCAGGGCTTTTCAGAATTGAGAATTAAAACTCTGTGCCCCAGATTGAATCTAAAAGGGTCTTTTGTTGTTGCTAAGTTGCTCAGCTGTGTCTGACTCTTTGTGATCCCATGGACTACAGCACTCCAGCCTTCCCTGTCCACTCTCTCCCAGAGTTTTCTCAAACTCATGTCCATTGAGGTTTTTATTCATCATCTAACCATCTCATCCTCTGTCGCCCCCTTCTCCTCCTGCCCTCCGTCTTTTCCAGCATCAGGGTCTTTTCCAAAGAGTCCTGGATGTGGCCTTATGTGTAACTAGAGGCTTCCTGAATGGCTCAAGCAGTAACAAACCCGCCTGCCAATGCAGGAGACACAGGTTCGATCCCTGGGTCAGGAATATCCCCTGGAGAAAGAGATGGCAACCCACTCAAGTATTCATGCCTGGGAAACCCCATGGACAGAGAAGCCTGGCAGGCTACTGCCCATGGGGTTGCAAAGAGTCGGACACAACTGAGCACACACGCACACGGAGATGTGACACTCAGCCAGTGTCCAGGAGGGCAGGTGCTGCTTTAGAAACCTGTCCTAGGACCAGACTGTGTCCCAGGGTACACACCCGAGTCTACAGCTGAGACATTCACAGGCCTCTCCCATTTGCGTCCCCCCAGGCTGAAGGAGGATGCCAAGAAAGCCATAGAAGCCCTGGGAAGTAAAGAGATCAGGAACATGCGGTTCAGGTCAAGCTGGGTGTTTGTGGCAGCAAAAGGCTTTGAACTTCCTGCAGGAATTCAGAGAGAAAAGGTGAGTGGCTGTTAAACATCCCTTCTCAAACAGTTACCATTTGTCCTCGCAATTCCACTCACAGATGCAGAGTGAAGAGAACAAAACCACATGTTCACACAAAATCTTGCACAGGGATGTGCTATTATTCCTAACAGCAAAAAAGCAGGAACAACCCAGATTGGATGAATGGACTTTAAAATGTATAAATAAAATAGATGTAAGTGCACCCTGAAATATTCCTCAGGCACATAAAGAATTGAAGTATTGATATCTGCTGTGAAATGAGTGAACCTTGAAAACACACTAAGTGAAGAAAACCAAATACAAAAGGCCATATACGGTGTGAGTCCATGTGAATGAAATTTCTGTAGCAGTCTAAACCAGAGAGAGAAAGTAGATTAGGAGCTGACTGGGTTATGGGTCATGGTGAGAGGGTATGTGCTTTCTTGTTTCAGGGATGAAAATGTTTTCGTTTGTTTGTTTTGCCAGGATGTGGCTTGCAGGATCTTAGTTCCCTGACCAGGGTTTGAATCCAGACTCTAGTAGTGAAAGCACCAATTCCTTACCACTAGACTGCCAGGAAATTCCCAGAATATGTTTTAAAATTGAGTGTGATGATGCTTGCATGTCTCTGTGAACATATTGAAAACCACTGAGTAACCACTTTATCATTAAAACCATTAAACTTTAAATAGATGAATTTTATAGATATGCAACAAGCAACACAGGTTTACTATATAGTACAGGGAACTATGGTCAATATTTTGTAATAATCTATAACAGAAAATAATCCAAAAAATAATATATGTGTACATGTATAACTGAGTCACCTTGCAGTGTACCTGAAATGTAAGTCAGTTACCAGTTCAGTAGCTCAGTCAGTCTGACTCTGTGCAAGCCCATGGACTGCAGCATGCCAGGCTTCCCTGTCCATCACCAACTCCTGGGGCCTGCTCAAACTCATGTCCATCGAGTCGGTGATGCCATCCAACCATCTCATCCTCTGTCATCCCCTTCTCCTGTCTTTAATCTTTCTCAGCACCAATATCTTTTCCAATGAGTCGTTTGTCACATCAAGTGGCCAAAGTATTGGAGCTTCAGCTTCAGCCTCAGTGCTTCCAATGAATATTCAGGCTTGATTTCCTTTAGGATGGACTGGTTTGATCTCCTTGCAGTCCAAGGGACTCTCGAGAGTCTTCTCCAAAACCAAAGTTCCAAACCATCAATCCTTCGGCACTCAGCCTTCTTTATGGTCCAATTCTCACATCCATGCATGACTACTGAGTAGGCTGGAGCAAATCCCATTCTAGCAAGTGATCCTCTTTTCTGATTTTGCTCACAGCTGGCACATTAAGCATTGCTGATTAGATGAATAGATAAATTAAATCCTTTTCTTTCCTTTGTACAGATCAACCACTCAGATGATGCGAAGAACAGGTATTCTGGCTGGCCAGCCGAGATCCAGGTAGAAGGCTGCATACCAAAAGGGCCCAGCTAACATTGCCGAGCCTCAATAAATGGGCTTTTTATAGACAAATGCATCCTGAATGGACTGCGGCCCTTCTCCAATGGTCAATATTTGATGAATATTTCAGGTTTGTCAACCAACCAATCAAAATATTTGCCAGTTGTATGAAATCTTGTCCCACAGACTTTTTATGCCAGTGTTTATAGAGTGAAGATGTTGAGCTGAAATGCATGGGCGTGCTCAAGAGGATTCAGTGACGTCACCTGGGAAGGAGTGGATTAGGGGAAGCAGCCCCTGCCTGTTAAGGTGTGGAGCTATTTTATCATCAGATCCAAGTTTGACCCATGTGGTCCAGATAGCTCTTCAGAGAGAAAACCTTTATTCTCCGACCACGGAGCACACACCCCCCTTACGGACGGTCATCTCATAGGGACAATGAGCAGCAGCCATAGGGCTTAGCCACTTTCTTGGGTCCACCTTCTTGAGCTCTCCCTGTGGGTCCCTGAACTTATTCATTCATCCCACAAATCTGGGTGCGCCTAACTTGGGCACAAGCAATACGACGGTGAAGAGATTCAGGGTCTGCATCCACGCAGGGGTGTTCTCCAGTGGTACCTTGTTTAACAGGATGGGGAGGAGGGATCTCTGATGGGCCGGGCGGGCAGGGGCTGCTCTCAGGAGGACCACTGTACCACCCAGACTTCCTAGGAGACACAGTGTAGATCCACATACCAAGATGCCCAGCGCCTTGGGGTTAAGAAAATCAAATCATTGCCAAGTGCTCTTTCTGACCTCCCTCCCAAACCTGGCTCCCAGAAATGATAGGAGACTTTGATGCCAGCTTGATGGTGCTTATCTAGCCTCCAGTTTCTCATCTATCCATAGAGGGGTTGGAACAGATGAATGATTTTCAAGTACTTTTATCAGCAGGCCTCCTTTTAAAAACATGGCAACACATGGCACCCTGAATTTCAGCATCCTTGCACGATCCGACTCCCTAGGTTTCAGTGGCTGACAGCAGCGCTGAGTCCTCCGTGGTTGTAGGTGGGCTGCAGGACAGTGGAGGCTCAACTCTGAGCGTGGGGGCCAGGCTGAAGGAGGGTCCCTATGGGGCATGGAAGCCAGAGAGAGCGAAAGTGCAATGTTTGCCAGAGCTCCTGCCAGGACCTGTGTGAGCCCTCATCATTGCACCCTGCTGCCAACCAGGGGGAACGTCAGCCTCTTGGCAGAGGGGTGTGACCATGGACCCCTCAGGGAGCCTGAGTCTCTCTCTGCAGAGGAATCTGCAAACCACTCGGTGGGATCTTGGCTGGGGCCCTATTACAGGCTAGACTGTATTCCTCCCTAACTCGTGAATTGACTCATAACTGACCGGCAGTACCACAGAATGTGACCTTGTGTGGAAATAGGGTCACTGTTGGTGTAATAAGTTCGAGTCAGGTGGCCCCTATCCAGTGTGACTGGTGTCCTAACAAAAAGGAGAAATTTGGACAAACAGGCCATCAGAGAGAACCCCCTTCTGGGCTCTGGACCACCTCAGAGGGGGCCTGGAAGGGACCTTGGGGGTCACTGAAAAGGCAGCAGAATGGAGGCCCTGGGAGGGTGGGGGCTGGAGGAGGGAGGGGCGATCAGGACGAGCACGGAGGACTTGGAGGGCAGCGGGCTCCTCTCGGGACTCACGGTGAGCGCCTGTCACTGCACACTCGTCCAGACCCACCGGTGTCCAACCCCAGGAGTGACCCTAGTGTAAACCGTGGGCTCTGCGTGATGACACTGTGTCAGCGTGGAGGTCACCCCTCTGGGGGGGGGGGCGGTCGACAGTGGGGAGGCTGTGCCTGTGTGGGGGGTGAGGCAGGGAGTCTAGGGGAAATCTCAGAATCTCTGTATCTTCCTCTTTTTACTGTGAACCTAAAACAAATAAAGTCTATTACAAAACCAAGCTGTCAAGGAAACTGAGACGCAGATGGGCTGCCACCCATCCTGAGCGTCTGTCCTCTCTCCGCAGACGCCCCCAGCCTTCCCCCATGTGGAAGTGAGCCTGCCCGGGGCCAGCACCCCCTCTCTGCTGCTGGAGAGCGGGAGGCCTGCAAGGGCTGCTCCTCGCCCGAGAGGGCAGGGCCTCTGACCTCTACCCTGTGGAGGGCAGGCACTTCCTGAGCTCTGAGACTCCTATTACCAATATGCCTGAACTTTTGACAGGCTTCCCGTGTGACTCAGCGACAAAGAACCCGCCTGTCAATGCAGGAGATGCAGGTTCAATCCCTGAGTCGGGAAGATCCCCTGGAGAAGGAAATGGCACACTCCAATATTCTTGCCTGGAGAATCATCATGGACAGAGGAACCTGGTGGGCTGCAGCCCAAGAGGTCTTAAAAGAGTGACTGAACACACACACACACACACACACACACTGGACTTTAGACATCACTGATGCAGAAATGGAGCTTGTTCCCGTCTAAGGAGCTGAGACCCTCTATTGCCCAGCGGCCCTTTGTCACGCGCTAGCCCAGACACTGACACTACCCACCCAGGCCTGTCCTCCATCCATGGGCACCATGCATGCATGAGGGCTGACAGCCTCCTAGCACCTGCCCTGAGATGGGTCACCATCATCCCCCACCCCCACCCCTGCACCGCTGGAGCAAGGCGGGTCCAGACAGTGAAGAGCTGGGGGATTTCCACCCACAGTGGCCTCTGCTACTCCACCACCCTGCACAGACACACACTTAGAATCTCGCCTGTGCACAGGCTCCCAGTTCCTCACCTCCTTAATCCATTAGCGGGGGGGAGACACTGCATGGTCTCCTCTGCACAACGAGAAAGCAAACTCAGAAGGAGCGGTTCTGCTGAGGGTGTATGAGCACCGGGACCAACCCTTCCTCAGAGGGTCCGTGGGCCGGGTGGGATGCGGAACCCCGGCCAGGGGTCATCACCAAGGTCCTGCCCGAAACCCCAGACAGTAGCTTGTGAACTAGTCCAGTGCCTTGATGCTGCTGAGGCCCCGAACCTTCCCGGAGAGCCTTCCTGAGGGGTGTGCCGAGGAGGGGTGCTGTGCTGCTGGGGAGGGTGGATCCTCAGCCGCCTCCTCAGCGAACTTCCCTGGTTCCCTCCGTGGAAGGGGTCCCACTCTGTCTGGTCTCTGCGGTGTCTTCCCTGTGCCTTTCCTGGAACTGCAGAGGCATCCACCCTCTGACACAGCTGATGAATCAGAAAACTCGCTGCCAAGTCAGCTGTCCAGTTCTTCCCTCCGTCTTCCCTCTCTGCCCAGGAGCCTCTGGATGGATGACCTGGGCATCAGGTCCTGCAGGACGCAGACCCTGGAAACTACCCCCAGGACCTCTTAATGTCAGGCTTTGAAAACCATCTTTTAAGCCTCCAAATTTCTTCTTTAGAGGACATTTTGCCCACAAGTCCGGTGAATGAGCAAAAAAGTGCTCGGGATTCATTTTCTTAATTTTCTAAGATTTTTCGTTTTGTTTTGGAAAGCCCCATGGGTGTGACGCTGAGATGGAGGCAGAATCCCCCCATCCTGTGCCAGCCCTGAACCCCCAGGGCTCCTTGGGGCCCCCCATACTCTGGTGGTGGGAGTGCCCAACTCACCCACGCTTCAGTCACAGCGAAGGGAGGGCTTTGGGACCCCGGGGGGTGCGTGCCTGTAGTTTTGCAGGTGAAGTAACCCGCACAGGACCAGGAAGTCAGGCTCACTCCTGGGAACCAGCCCAAGTGTGAGGGTACGCACCTACGTGAGGGGCTGTGGATATCCCTTCCTGGCATGTTCAGAGCTTAATATGGGCAGAGAGTGGCAGGACACAGAAAAGTCAGAAAGTCCTTCTGGACAGTGCTATGCTAAGTGACCTGTTCTCCAAGTGTGGTTGGCCCCAGCCTGGGAGAACCTGTTAGCCCAGTTACTCACCTCCTGCTCCGCCCCCTCCCGTGAGTTCACAAGCCCACCTGGAGACTGATGCAGCTGGAGTCTGAGGACCACTGTGTGAAGCACCAGGAAATGGATGGATACTTCAGGTTTCGTTTCTGTGGCAGGCTAATGGTTTCATTTTTGTGGCAAGTCATTAGTTTCATTTCCCTTGCTTCTGGGAAAGGAAACCACGAGGGGAGGAGGGATCCTTTAAAAGCAAAGGGAGGAATAGGCAGAGATGACTTTGCCGGCNATCCTTTAAAAGGAAAGGGAGGAATAGGCAGAGATGACTTTGCCGGCCTCCCTCCCACAGGTGCACAGGTAAGAGCTGGGTCAGTGCGGGGAGGGCTACCTAAATGCTGCTTCCTGCAGCAGATCTGCATTTCTATTAAAAGCGGCTCCTGTTAAACGTGGCTTGTGCCAGAAGGCTGGAGGCAGAAAGAAGCTGCCTGCGTTGTGCGCTGGTGCTGGCCCCTAGCCGTCCCTGCATGCACGCTGTAGAAAGGAAGCGGCGGGACTGGGAGCACAGGGGGTGCCCATCTCCCCGAGTCTGGCCAAAGACCTTGTGACCACTCAGAAGTGGCTTCTGGAACTCCCATGGAAGTTGTACATCCTGAGGAGGGGAGAGAGTTTCATGCTCTGTGAAGCTGTGATTTAGAATAAGAAATATATTAACTATCGTCACCTTGCTGTACCTTGCATCTCCACAGCTAATAATACTGTGTAGCATTTTAGAAAGTTGCTAAGAGAGTAGAAGGCTTCCCAGGTGGTAGTAGTGGTAAAGAACCCTCCTGCCAATGCAGGAGACTCAGGGGATGCAGGTTCAATCCTCAGGTTGGGAAGATCCCCTGGAGAAGGTCATGGCAACTCACTCCAGTATTCTTGCCCAGAGAGTGCCATGGACAGAGGAGCCTGGGAAGCTACAGTCCATGGGGCTGCAAAATAGTCAGACAGGACTCAGAGACTAAACAATAACAACAAAAAGGGCAGATCTTAAAAGTCCTCATCACAAGAAAGAAGAAGTATGAGGATAGATATTAACTCATCCAGGTGACTATTTCATAATATTCACAATTGTAGGGGAAAAGGAGAGATTATTTGGTCTGTGTTGGGCTTCCCAGGTGGCTCAGATGGTAAAGAATCCGCCTGCAATGCAGGAGCCTCGGGTTCGATCCCTGGGTCGGGAAGATCCCCTGGAGAAGGAAATGGCAACCCACTCCAGTACCTTGCCTGGAGAATCCCATGGAGGGAGGAGCCTGGTAGGCTACAGTCCACAGGGTCTCAAAGAGTCGAACACAGCTGAGCGACTTCACTTTCACTTTCAGTTCCATCCTAACAGGTGTTCCTAAAACCCTCAGAAGGGAGGAGAGCATCCGCTTCTGTTATGCTAATCAGGTGGTGTCAGGTCCCCGTGTTATGTTAATGAGGTAGGAGCCGGTTGCCTAGGTGAGCGATCACGTGACACGAGGACTGGCGCTTCCAGCCACTCCCCATCTCCCGGAAGGGAAGCAGGGCTGGAGATTGAGTTCAGTCTCGGTTAGTCAGTGATGGAATCACTCAGGTCTATGGAATGAAGCCGCCTTAAAACCGGAGAGTGTTTGGAGGGCTCCTGGAGCGCACTGGAGATGCGGGAGGGTGGTACTCGCAGAGTGGAAGCGCCACCCTCGTCCTGCGCCTACGTTCTGCATCTTTTCTGTCTGGCTTTTTCCGAGCTGTGCTTCCGTGGTGGCTCAGCTGGTAAAGAATCCACCTGCAATGACGGAGACCTGGGTTCAATCCCTGGGTTGAGAAGATCCCCTGACGAAGGAAAAGGCCACCCACTCCAGTATTCTGGCCTGGAGAATTCCATGAACTGTATAGTCCATGAGGTCGCCAAGAGTAGGACATGACTGAGCGGCTTTCACTTTTCCTGAGTTGTGTCTGTGTGCATGCTATTTCACTCAGTCGTGTCCGAATCTTTGTGATCCCATGGACGGCAGCTCACCAGGCTCCTCTGTCCATGGAGATTCTCTGGGCAAGAATACTAGAGTGGGTTGCCATGCCCTCCTACAGGGGATCTTCCCCACCCAGGGTTCGCGCCGTCTCTTATGTCTCCTGCATTGCAGGCAGGTTCTGTTAAGAACTAGCGCCACCTGGGAAATCCTTTTATAATAAACCTGTGATCTAGTCAGCGAAAGGCTTCTGCTCTAGCAGATTATTTAAACGCAAGAGGGGTGGTGGGATGAGGGGGGGGGGTGTCCTTTCTAGCGGTTTGCATCTGAAGTGGGCAGTGTTGACTGGGGGAAAAAATGCACATGAGAGTTGTGAGTTAAGTTTTACTGGGGGCAAAATGAGGATGATAGCCTGAGAGACAGCATTTTGGATAGCTCTGAGGAGCTGTGACAAACAGCTAGTGGGGAAGTCAGTAATATATGATTTTAGTGAAGGGCGTATGTGCAATCAAGCACACATTTTGGCAGAAGCTCACTGCTAGTCACGAGGAGCAGATGTCACCATTAGTGATTTTAGTGCTTTTCTAGATAGGAGGAGATGCAAGAATTGTGCTCATAAAATCTTCTCCAGAAAGTATCAAACTATCTGACCTGTTCTGCCAGTTTTTCCCAGAGGACAGAGGGCCTTGCTCCTGATCTCCATCCTGAACTACTTTGGGGAGCAGCTGCAGTGGTTTAGGATTTAATCCTTGTAGAATTAGGTGTGTGTGTGTGTGTGTGTGTGTGTGTGTCTGCTCGGTCGCTCAGTTGTGGCCAACTGTGACCCCATGGACTATAGCCCAACAGGTGCCTCTGTTCATAGGATTTCCCAGGCAAGAACACTGGAGTGGGATGTCATTTCTTTCTCCAGAGATCTTCCTGACCCAGGGATCAAACCTTAATCTCCTGCATCTCCTGCATTGGCAGGCATATTCTTTGCCACTGTGCCACCTGGGAAGCCTAGAGACAGATGACAAATGCCAATTTGTAATTAGCAGCAGGATGAGGTGGGGACGGGTGATAGGGTGAGCCCCATCTGATAATAGTCCTGTGGTATCCACAGCCATCTCCCGGTAGATAGTGTCCGAATTTAGTCAACTGTTTGATGATATATAGAATGACACACACTTTCAGAATCAGAATTGAAGCCCCGAAGCCTGGTCTCAGAGCTTCAGGATCCCTCTTGCTTGAGGCAGTGGTGGCCAAAAGGGCTCCTGACACTGTTTCTCTTGAGGGGCAAGGACACCTGCTTTCTAGCATTTGCTGATTCCCATTGTAGCATGAACTGGTGGATTATTATGCCTTCAGAATTTTGCTTAGAGAGAGACAGATATGATGCCAAATCCACCCAGCAAAGAAAGGCCTTGGGGGGAACAGATAAGGTATAAACCACTATGCCTTTGAACTGTGGTGCTAGAAAAGACTCTTGAGAGTCCCTTGAACAGCAAGGCAATTAAACCAGTCAATCCTAAAGGAAATCAACCCTGAATATTCATTGGAGGGACTGATACTGAAGCTGAAGTTCCAATAATTTGGCCACCCAATGCAAAGAGCTGACTCATGAAAAAAGACCCTGATGCTGGGAAAGTTTGAGGGCAGGAGGAGAAGGGGATGACAGAGGATGAGATGATTGGATGGCATCACTGACTCAATGCACATGAATGTGAGCAAGCTCCAGGAGATTGTGAAAGAGGGAGCCTGGCATGCTGCAGTCCATGGGGTCGCAGAGAGTCAGACACGACTGAGTGACTGAACATCAATGGTGTGTGAGTGTCCTAGGGTTGTTATGGCACAGTATCCCAGACTAGAGAGCTTAAAAAATGAAAATTTAGTCTCTCCCAGCCCTGGAGGCTGGAAGTCTAAGATGGAAGCATTAGCAGGGCTGGTTGCTGCTGAGATTCTGCATAGAGTCCATCCCTGTCTCTTCCAGCTTCTCATTGCCAGCACTCCTTGGCACTACTGGGGGAAAATATCTGAGGATGCTTCCAGCAGGATGAAAAAGAAAAAGCAGAGGCTTTTTCATGGGATCATACTTTCTCTAGACACTTGCTGAAGGATCAGGTATTTTGTAAGACAGTGAATTTCGTGGGGGAGACTGGCCCCATGGGAAACTATTCAGATGTGGAACAGAGAAAGGGCTAAACCTCAGGGACTCAGAGAAATGAAGAACAGGAAGATGCAAAACAGCTGTAAAAACCCAGATTTAGTTTTAGTCCCCAACCAGTGGGAGGGGCTGGCTGAGAGTCTTTTCCTCTAAAGCTAGCCTCAGCCGCAGGGCACTTGAGGGCTGCATGCCAGCAATTCCTGGCCAGGAAGTGCCTGCTTCATCCCCCCACAGCCCCACACATTTGGAATCAGCTGACTGTGACTGTAAGACTGGGGTTGCCTGTAAGATTGGCCTTCTGCCCAACCCTCAACTGAGCAGTCTTACTGCCCTTCATCCACAAGAGGGAACAGAGGTGCTGTCTTAGTATTTCAGCACAGAGATAAGGGTGCTCCCTCCACTGGACATCCTTTGCAGGGCTCCCCCGGGAGCAGGGACGAGCCTGTCGGGGGGGGGGGTCTCCCTTTTTTAGGGTCTCCAGGTCAGTGGAGCTCACCGCTTAGAAAAGCACAGGTAGAAGACTTCACCTCCTTCCAACCCAAACCCAAATGTCAGGTCCAGCCCCAGTCATGCCAGGAAAGGCCAGGGCACAGCCCGGTCAATGCAAGGCAGAGAGGACCAGAGGGGCCAGCCCCCAATCCCAAAGAAGGGAGCTGCCCCTGGACTGGGCTTTCTGAGCCCCCAGGAGACAAGGGTGCTTCTCCCAGTTCCCTGAGCTAATTCTGACCTCAAGACCTTTGCACTTGAACTTGTTCTGCCAGGAAGGCTCCTCCCCAAGACCTCAAATAATTGCTGCTCTCTTCATTCATTTCCTGTTTCCTGTACACGCAGACATACCCTACCTCCATCTCTGACACTGACCCCAGGATCCGTCACCCACTCCCTTTCTTCCAGACACTCCATCATCACCTGGGGTTGCATTACTGCAGCCTTCTTCATTGGTCAGCTTTCTTGTTTGGGGGGGTCCTCCCTGACAGAATGTGTGTACCAGAGGCAGGGACTTCATCTGGTTTGCTCACCACTGAACCCTCGTGGCAGGAACCACCTCGCACGTAATAGGTCCTCGTATTACTTTGCTCAGGCTGCCGTAACAAAGTGCCTCCGGGTGATGGCTTAGACAACAGAAATTTATTTTCTCACAGTCTGGAGGCCAGAAGTCCAAGACTAAGGTGTCAGCAGGGTTACTTTCCTTTTTTTTTTTTTTTAGCAGGGTTACTTTCTCCTGAGGCCTCCTGGACATGGAGACGGCAGTCTTCTCCTTGTGTCCTCACGTGGTCTTGCCTCCATGTGTATCTGTGTCCTAACCTGTTTTTTTCTCATTAAGACACCGGTGAGGCTGGATTAGTGACCTCATTTACCTCAATCACCTCTTTAAAGGCCATCTCTCCAGTGTAGACACACACCAAGGTCCTAGAGGTTAGGACCCTGACATATGAACTTGGGGACACAATTCAGCCTGCATCAGTCTTCAAAACATATCTGCTGAATGAATGAAAAAGTGAATGAACCAATAAGTGAATGAACCACCCTCACTTTTAAAGCTAGGCCAATGGCACATACAAGGTTATGAATGTGCAGGTCCAGTTTGAGGGAAGGCAAAAAAAATTGGCCCAGCATTCAAAGATGGTATCAAATAGGAAAAGGTAGGTTAAGACCAAATTCTTTAGGAACTTTGATCTGAAAACAAAGACCCCACAAGTTTTTAGAAAGGGTAGTGACAGAATGAGACCAGGGGCTTAGAAGGGAAAGGGCCATAGTGTGTGCAAGGATGGGGCCACTGTTAGGAGGGGATGGACGGACAGCTGGAAACAGGGCACACACGGATGCCCCAAGGGTCAGCGACAGGGTAGGCACCACCTCGAGACTCCAATCCTCCCCAGTGGTTAGTGCCCTGGAGCTGGCATGACAAATGCCCCCAACTCAGACACATAGTATATCTATTCTCTCCCAGTTCTCAGGCCAGAAGTTCCAGGGCGAGGTGTCGGTAGAACTAGTTCTTCCCAGAGGCTCTGAGGGAAAACTCTTTCAGGCCCCTCTCCCAGCTTCTGGGGCCCCTGATCCCCTCGGGGGTCCCTGACTTGGGGCAGTGACCCTCCAGTCTCTGCCTCCGTTGCCCTCTAGCCAAGGGGCTCCTGTGTCTCAAACCCTCCCCGCCTGTCTCTTCTTGCATTTCAGGCCCACCGTCATCCCCAGATCTGCCTCAATTCCACTGCGAGTGGGCTTTTCCCAATAAGGTCACAGCCACATATCCAGGTGGACTCGCATTTGGGAGGGGAGCAAAGCCATTCAACTCTCTGTCTCCACTCTGGTCCCCGTGGGGGGTGGGGGGGCGGTCACAGCAGGAAAGTGTTCATGACCCAGAGTCCCTGGCCAGCCTCTGGGCCCTGACTCAGGCCAGTAACTAGACCATTGCGCTTCACCTTCTTGACCTGAAAAAGTGCAAATTAGGCGCTGACACGCAGGGTTGCTGTGAAAACGAAATGAGCATCTCAGAGCAGCGCTGGGTGAGGCCAGCTGTCTAGGGGGAAGACCACCTGATTATAGGTCCCACAGAGAAGTAAGAGACCCCAGCAAGCTTTGTCCCAGAATCTCCAGCATCCTGACCTAGCCTGGGTGAGAAACGGTGACGGCGGGGCAGAGATTGCCTACCAAGGGATGCTGGACGGGCTCCCTGTCATCTTTCCACACCTTACTGCCTCCTCTCCATCTTGAACTGTAGGTGACGACGTGGAGCCCAGCAGAAGTGACAGGAGAACCTGCAGACTCTCTCCTGGAAGCACAGAGTCCCCTTGTCCCCAGGCCCCGGGGCACCGCCAACACCCCTTTTGTGTTCTGTGCCTGTTTGAGGCCATCAGCCCCTCCTGCAGACAGGCGTGAGCTGGGCTGCTGGCCTGCCCTGCGTCGGTGAGCAGCTGGTGGGTTGTATGGGGTTGGGCAAAGCAGAGCTGGAGGAAATACAGCCCCCAGGAAGGTCTGCTGGGGGACCTCTGGGCCACTCTCCCGTCTTGTGTCTTCACAGAGCTCGTCGAGAAGACCGGAGGCGCTGAGCCCCAGAGACCGCATACCCCAGCTCTCCAAGCAGACAGTCATGTCGCTGTCCTACAGGCCTTTGAGGTCAAGGAGGCGCATTCTGACTTCCACTCAGCACCACCCAAAGGAAGACATGAACTTCCATCAGGAGCCACCAGCGCCGCCAGCTCCAGCACCGGAGCAGACAATGAGTCCCCTCCACTGGCAGGTGGGAGAGAGCCAGCCAAACTTCCTTCCCAATAACTTCCAGCAGCTGAATTTGGACCCTCAGCAGCCAGAAGCAGATGAGGGCCAACAGAGGCCAAAGGTAAGGTGAGAGGAGGGTGGGTCAGGAAGGGTGCATGAGGGGGAGGGAGGGGAGAGAAGTGTGGGTGTTAGTCACGGAGTCGTGTCTGACTCTTTGCGACCCCATGGACCGCAGCCCGCCAGGCTCCTCTGCCCTTGGGATTCTTCAGGAAGAGTACTGGGGTGGGTTGCCGTTTCCTCCCCCAGGGATGCAACCTGGGTCTCCTGCATTGCAGGCAGATTCTTTACCATCTTTCAGAAGGTGGAGGGGTGCGGGGGAAGTGGGGAATAAAACCTGCCAGTCTACCCTCCCCCACTCCCAACCTTCTGGGCACTTCCAACAAGCCCCAGGGGCAGACACAGTCTCTGGGGCAGCAATGACCTTCCTGGACATGGATCTGGGGCCTCCGTTCTCTGTGCTGGGGTCTCCTGCCTGGGAGCTTTCCCTTCGGCTGTTATTGCCACAGTCATCACTGTCAGCCACCCCCCACCCCAGCCCTGCAGGCCTGGGGTGGGCTTCTCCCCTCCCTCCAACTGGGAGCGCCTGCCCTCACAGGGTCATCTCTCAACTCACACGGGCACCTCCACCTCCAGCCCACAGCAGTGGAAGCCAAGCCTCTGCAGGAACAAGCGCAGGGGCCTTGCCTCTGGCACACCCGGGTCCACCTCTCGCCCCTCCTGTCTCTAACCCAACATGAGCAAATCCATCAATTCAGCCACAAATTCCAGAAAGCATTGGGAGTCCATCAGAGGCCAAGGCTGTGAGTCTGCCTGTCTCCTCCAGGAGCCTGAAAACAACCTTTACAGAAAGTATGAGGAGAAGGTGCGGCCCTGCATTGATCTCATTGACTCCCTGCGAGCCCTGGGTGTGGAGAAGGACCTGGCCCTGCCTGCCATCGCTGTCATCGGGGACCAGAGCTCGGGCAAGAGCTCCGTGCTGGAGGCTCTGTCGGGGGTCCCCCTCCCTAGGGGCAGCGGTAAGCACTGCTGGGGCAGCCTCCTACAAGCCACAGAGCATCCCAGGACTAGTAGGCTCAGGAGGGGCCACGGGAAGCCCCCCTGGACAGGTGATGTGGGCAAGGGGTGGTGGGGAGGGTGGGCCTGGATGCTCCTGCTACCCCTAGGTTCTGAGTCCTCTTTCACGTGTCAACAGTCATTGCGGGGCTTTGTATCAGTTGGTTTCTTTCTAGCCCTCTAAGACTCTAGAAACATTTCTATGTTAATTTGTGAGTTTCCGGTAACATGCAAAGTCTTTTTGAAGAATTTTCTCAACACTTTGAGAAGCTATTAGCCAGGATCATGGTGTGATATGTTTTTAAATGTTTCATTTTAAAAAAGAATTTTTGTTTTTTTTGGTCATGCCTCAAGGCATGTGGGCTTTCATGCCCACAAGGGATTGAACCTGTACCCCCTGCATTAGGAGTTCAGAGTCTTAACCACTGGACTACCAAAGAAGTTCCTGTTTCCCTTAAAAAAAAAAAAAAAACAACGTTTGTAGAATTAAGCATGGCAACCCACTCCAGTATTCTTGCCTGGAGAATCCCATGGACAGGAAACTGGCAGGCTATAGTCCATGGGGTCTCAAAGAGTTGGACAGAACTGAGTAACTAACACTACTACAACTATGATCATATGGGCTTCCCTGGTGGCTCAGCTGGTAAAGAATCTGCCTGCAATGCAGGAGACCTGGGTTCTATCCCTGAGTTGGGAAAACCCCCTAGAGAAGGAAAAGGCTATCCACTCCAGTATTCTGGCCTGGAGAATCCCATGGACGGAGGAGCCTGGCCAGCTACAGTCCATGGGGTCGCAAAGAGCTGGACACAGCTGAAGTGACTTAGCACACACGAATGCAAGCACAGAATTAAAAAGCTGTCATACATTCTGACAATGAAAATAATTATAAAGGGGAACCCTAAAGTGGGTAGTTTCCCCTGTCCTGATTCCCTCTCTCATACCCATCTTCTTCCAGCACTGCCCATCCATCAAAAATAATAGAAACCCAGGGAGCCAGGGCTGCCTCCTGGGCACAGAGGAGGGTATGGGGGCTTCATGGACCCTGCACAGCCCTCAACAACCACCCAGACCAGGCGCCCCGGCCTGTGTGTCCTCCCAATCATGCGCAGCTGCTCCTTTACTCCCAGGTCTCCTGTGAGATCCCCATCCGCCCAACTCTGATGTGTGATGGAGTCAGAGTGGGGACCAGTGGCTCCTCCTCTCTGCCCTGCGTTCGGCATTTCCAGGAGAAAAGCAACAGAGCAAAGAGTCTGGAGGCCAGTGTGGCCGTGGCAGTCTTGTGGGGCAGGCAGGAGCCCCTTACAGGACAGTGCTTTGGGCTCCCTCCACGCCCAAGTGTGAGGGGCTAGGAGGGCTGGATGGGGTCAGGTAAATCTCACTGCTTCCCTCCCACTCCTACCCCCGTCCTGACCCTTGGCTGCCACCTGGACTGTGCCCAAGGCCTTTCTAGGAATGGGGGTAATTAGTGGGGCTGGACTGAGTCCTCCCTAGAGAGGGATACAGATTTCAGACAAGGTCTCTGGGGACACTGGGGAGGATAAGAGCAAAGCGTGGGTCTTCCCTGGTGGTCTAGTGGTTAGAACTCCATGCTCCCAATTCAAGAGATGGGGGTTCGATCCCTGGTCAGGGAACCAAGACTCTACATGCCTTGTGGTGCAGTCAAAAAAGGAAAGAAAAGGGCACCTGTGAATGGCTCTTTTTAAGGGAACCTTAGAGGCTGTTTGTGAAACTCTCTCAGGAATCATCACCCGGTGTCCGCTGGTGCTGAAACTGACAAAGCGGGAGTGTGAGTGGACGGGGAGAATCAGCTACCGCAACATAACACAGCAGCTGCACAGCCCTTCCGAGGTGGAGTGGGAGATCCGTAAAGGTAGGGCCCTGCGGGCATCTGCAGGTCGGCTCCTTCTCCCCCTGGGGCCGTCAGCAGTCACCCGGCCTCTCCAGCCCCACAGCGAGCACCATCTCTTCTTTCCAGGCTTTCCCACGTGCCGCCCTCTGCCTCACACACGTCCCTCCTCCTTGCTGCATAACCCTACCCTTTTGTGACTGCCAGTTTTACCTGCCTCTCCTCTGGGAACTGTCCCAGACAGCACCCCTAATCCACCTACCTTGGTCAGCACTGGGGGCATGTGTTGCTAGGCGCTGCTCTAACCTGAAGTGTCTGGTTGCCTGTGGCTGCATCCCTGTCCCCAAGCCGTGAGGTTTCCCCCAAGGCCAGCCCCGCCCACCCATCACTCCTAGAAGCACATCCAACTCTTGAGATCAGCCTGACATAACCACCAAATGAGAAGCAGGCTCAGTTGCTCCTGGAATGTCTTCCCAGGAGGCGCTAGTGGTGAAGAACCCGCCTGCCAGTGCAGGAGACATAAGAGACACAGGTTTGTGATTCCTTTTATAATTAGGTGGGACCACAGGAAAATGCTCTTCTTGTAGGTCAAAAGTGGTTATCTATCAGCAAATTCACTTGGCTCAACCAAGTATAAAGTACAAAAATGGGCAAAAGAGTAGATGCTGGTAAAGCTTAAGATAAGCGCTGCTTTATGTGAGGGCTAGAGATCCACAGGGAGAGAGGGGCTTTAGCAGGGCAGAGGGGCTGCCCATGTTCTGTCTCTTGATGTGTGTTTCTGTGACACCAGTGGGTCCTGCCTGTGAAACTCACCAAGCCACAGGCTTAAGACAAAGGGTACTTTCCTCTACGTATGCTTCACTTCAATACAGAGTTACAAAATCATAGCTTAAGTAGTGACTGGGAGTGATAGCTAAAGCAGGAAACATTTACAAAGTAGCCTGGTTGCCATCGTTCTCCCACCTCCTGATCTCTAAAGAATTAGGCAATTCATCAGGGCTGTGCTTAAATTGCCTCCTTGTTTCTCACCTTAGGACTGTCCCCAGATACAGGTGAGACACATAAATCTGCCCACAGATTCCACTGTTTTTGCGTGATTGGGTTCTTCATCTGGACTCAGGGTTTCTCCTCTCTTGGTCTCCATAGCCCAGAACATCATAGCTGGGAATGGAGTTGGCATCAGCCATGAGCTCATCAATCTGGAGGTCACCTCCCCTGAGGTCCCAGATCTGACCCTCATTGACCTTCCCGGCATCACCAGGGTGGCTGTGGAAAACCAGCCACAGGACATCGGACTGCAGGTCAGCCTCTCTGCAACTTGGGAGTGGGCCCCACGCTCAGCAGGGGGCACTTCTGAGGTCTCTGCCGGCAGCCCCCAGGCCTCTGGTTCACATTCCCAGCCCACAACCTGAGTAGTTGGGGAGGAGACTGTGGAGGACAGTCTAGGGCTGGGGCCTCATACTCGGGTTCGGACAAGGGCCCGGCCGTCATGCAAACAGGCAAAGCTGACTCTGTAGGCCTCGGGGTGTATAACACACACCCTACGCAATGCTGTCCTGTGGGAATATGGACCCAGTGTTACCACTATCCTAATATTTAAAAGAAGCCAGACATTGGATTTTTACATAGGATCTGCTGATTTTAGCCACAAGTTTTTTAAGTAACACCATGTAAGCCAGTCAGGACACAGATTGTGATCTCTGGCTGGGGACAAGAATGCCGGTACAGTGGACAGGCATGAGAACCGCAGAGCAGCTCTGACCGATACAAACCAACAGCTGCTGAGCCTGGGGCTTCTTTACCAAAGACCTTCCCACTTAAGGTTGCCTGAGAATGTAGTCGTCATGGGGATGCCAGAATCACACCTGATCACACCCTGAAACCAGCCTTGTCAAGCCTTGCTGAGCCAGCTCACGTGGAGGCCAAGGAGGCAAGGATGGTCTCAGAAGCAGGGTTGTTGTCCAGGGTGTAAAGGGACGGGGTGGAGGAGAGGGAGAAGATGAGACCCTCTTCCCCTGAGATTGAGGTCACAGCTGCCCTCTTCCCTCTTCCAAGGAGGTGAGTGGGGGGCGGCACTGCCAGTGTTGGGAACCCAATTACAGCCCACCTAAGACCGTGGCAGTCCCTCTTGGATGGGTCTCTGCTGGCCCCACTGTCTCAGGCACTTGATTACTCTTTCTTCCTCAACATCCAGATCACCATTCTCTGTCTCTGGGAGCCTTGTAATTAGGTCACTCCCATTCCTGAGTTAAGGGGCTAATTCCACACTTCTTACTGTACTTCATTCAGCAAATGGGTGGGATTTCCTGGGGCATGACAAAAATGCTTGCCTGGGGTCAGAGCATGCCTGTTCCTCCTGCCGTCAGCTCAGAAGCATCCCAGGGAAGATCTGTCGAGGAAGGAGGGGTCTCATCTGGCCACGGGAATCAGGGAGCCTTTGGGAAGGAAGAAGTACCAGTGATGAGCTCTGGAGGATAAGCAGAACCTCAGCAGAGAACTCGATGAGGGCAGGTGGTCAGACATTCTAGAGGAAGGGCGTAGGCTAAGCCAAAGCTCAGAGGTGTGAAAACTGGGTGGTGCTCTGGGATGACCAGCTGTGCTCTTGGGTGACCAGAGATGTGCTCTTCCGTTGTGACTCCTTGGCATCAGATCAAGGCACTCATCAAAAAGTACATCCAGAGGCAAGAGACCATCAACTTGGTGGTAGTCCCCTGCAACGTGGACATCGCCACCACAGAGGCGCTGAGCATGGCCCAGGAGGTGGACCCTGATGGAGACAGGACCATAGGTAAGAAGAAAGCGCCGAGCTCCTTAGAGGACAGGAAGCTGGGGGAGACCCCTCAGATATTTAGAAGGTCCTGGATGTAATAGCTCTATTAGAGGTGCCCACACCCTGCATCAGATACAAGCTCTGTTCCCAGGGAAACTCCGTGGGCTCGGGGTGCAGTTGTACACAGCAGATGGGTCACCCTCACTAATGGTCAGGGCTAGATGTATGGCCAATATTTGGAGGTTCTTTGCCCTCCTTCCTATTGTCCCTTATTTGCATTCTCAACCAATTCTGGATCAGGGAGGAGAAATACCTTATTTGCTCTCCCACAATGGTCCAAAGAGGAGGAACTGACTGGCCCGCCAACACTGCAAGTCCACAGGAAAAATTCTTGTGAGTCTTTGGTTCATGGAAAAGTTCTCACCAGGGCATGTGTGAACATACTCAGGGAATACACTTTCAGGTTTACACTGGAGCACAGGTGTCTATAGAGTTTATTTTCAAGTAGAATTCTTACTTGGGGAGATGGGTTCTCCTAAATTCCTTTTTAAAAAATGTCCCCTGCAGAAGGCACTATAGGGGATTTGGTTTAAGAGCACAGATTGCCTGGGTTTCAATCCTTGTGTTACAATTTACTGGCTACATACCTTGGGCAAGTGAGAGCTGCTATTTTTAAAATTCTAATATTGTTACTTAATATCACTTCTCTCCAATCACTTCACTTACCCATCTGAGTTTACCTTCCTGAAAGTGTGCCAGTCATTTTCTCTGACTAATTGGATACCCAGTATATTACTGCCTTTTCCACTTTTTTTCCAACAAATGCCCAGGTTTCCAGTAAGGATAAAAATACCAGTAGGGGAATACAACTCGAGTTTAATGTGTTATTATATGCCAGACTAGACTGGTACCCTGTTACCTGCTGACTTCTACAGGCATCTAGAACACATTGAACCAGAGAGAAAACTCAGGTTTGGGGTCATCCACCATTATGCAGTCATAAGTCATTAGGAATGTCTCATTAATGACCACAGAAGATAGTTTCATCTGTTAAGTAGATAGATCTATTTGGATATCAATATCTTTATAGAAATTGAGTAATACTTCTTACTAGTAGTTTTCTGTTCTTGTCATGGGGCTTCCCAGGTGATTCAGTGGTTAAAAAAAAAAAAAAAATCTGCCTACCAATGCAGAAGACACAAGAGAGATGGGTTTGATCCCTGGGTGGGGAAGATTCCCTGAAGAAGGGAATGGCTACCCATTCCAGCATTCTTTAGCCACAAACTCTGATAATCTGTAAGTTTTCACTAAATATTATCTATTATTGTTGTAAATTCAGTTAAGTACTATATGCATAGAGTATACACAATCAGGCCTTAGTATATTCCAAACAGCCTTATAACACTGTGCAAATTTTCCATGCATTCTAGGTCAAGTATAGAAATAGAGAAAAGTATGCTAAATTTAAAAAAGAAATGGAATATACACTCAAGTACACAGCAGCCAAAAGGTGGAAACAAACCAAGCATCCATCAAGAACACAGTCACTTGGAATTCAAAGCCTTCAGTTCAGTGTGAGCGACAGGAGTAAGGGCAGGAGCGTGGGAGAGGAAGGCAGGGAGGATCTCAAAGGAGGTCCCAAATAGAGGGGCAGAGTGAGTCTTTGACAGGAGACCCTCGAGAGTCACAGACCCTCCTTACAGTAGGAAATGATGTGCTTTTGGAGACATAGTGATGGAGTGAGTTGGTTCTGATGATGCATGCTGCCTTAGTGTCGGGGACTCAGTGGGCACCCAAGAGACATTTGTTAAATAAATTACACAAGGCAGTTAACAAGTTGAGTGACTGGATGAGCAAATAAAAATACAAGTGAGAGGAATGACAATGGAGTGAAAGAATGAGCTGACGGGCACTAGGCAGAAAAGGCTCTTGGTCATATCAATCTTGATAAAGAAGAAAATTGGAAGCATCATAATCCATGATGGCAAGTATATTACAAAGTGACTGTGATTAAAGCAGTATGGTGCTAGCAAAAGACAGACATACAGACCTGTGTGACAGAATAGCAAGCCCAGAAATAAATTCGTGTCTGTATAGTTAGCTGATTTGGGGCAAAAGTGGTAAGAATATACAGTGGGAAAATGATAATCTGCTGGTCTTGGCCAAAAAAGACCCCATAGCCTAGTAGCGTTCAGTATATTTGCAGAGAAAGTTGACCTTTCCACTTGCCCTCCTCTAATCATCTCACAGGGATCCTGACCAAACCAGACCTAGTGGACAAGGGCACTGAGAAAGGAGTCCTGAAGGTCATGCAGAACTTCACCTATCATCTCAAGAAGGGCTATATGATCGTGAAGTGCCGGGGCCAGCAGGATATCACCAACAAGCTGAGCTTGGCAGAGGCAACCATGAAAGAAACACTGTTCTTTCAGACACATCCATATTTCAGGTAAGATTCTTCGCGACAGCCTTGGACTCCAGGGAAACCAGCCCTGCCTACCAGAATTGGCCAAGATGATTACCATATTTAAAAATTATACAATTAGCATCAGCTCAGTTCAGTCGCTCAGTCATGTCCGACTCATTGTGATCCCATGGACTGCAGCACGCCAGGCCTCCCTGTCCATTACCAACTCCTCGAGTTTACTCAAACTCATGTCCATTGAGTCAGTGATGCCATCCAACTAACTCATTCTCTGTCAACCCCTTCTCCTCCTGCCTTCAATCTTTCCCAGCATCAGGGTCTTTTCAAATGAATCAGCTCTTCACATCAGGTGGCCAAAGTATTGGAGTTTCAGCTTCAACATCAGTCCTTCCAATGAACATTCAGGACTGATTTCCTTTAGGATGGATTACTTGTATCTCCTTTCAGTCCAAGGGAATCTCAAGAGTCTTCTCCAACACCACAGTTCAAAAGCATCAATTCTTTAGCACTCAGCTTTCTTTATGGTCCAACTCTCACA